ACTCCACTCCTCACATGTGTGGGGTTGAAGATAGTATTTGAAAGCTTAACCCGTTCTGTGCGGCAATCCAGTTGGGAGGACTTCAAATTCAAAATTTTGCCACCGATTCCGAAAGAGGAAAGTCTCAAGAGAAGAAGGACATGGTCAACACGATCAAAAGCCCTAGTGAAGTCGAAAAAGATTGTGTAAAGTGCAAAACCATTATCCCTCGATTGGAGAACATGATCAAAGAAAGAGAGCTGACAGGTTTTACAAGACCGAGCTTTGAGGAATCCATGCTGTGCAGCGCTCAGAAGGTTTTTCTCTGGTAAGTGACACATTACCTTATCTTCGATCAATGTCTCTAAGATTTTCGAAACTGCAGAGAGGATGTTATCGGCTGAAAGCCAGTTCAGTTCAGTTTACTGACGGAAATGGGCGTAAGCCTATGAGTACCCTATTTGTAACGTAAAAAAATGTGAGGTATACAGATAAATGTTCTGAGCTGAAATATTTCAAACAAGCCCATAACGGTAGGACAAAATGGGAAGGAGTCACAGGGGTAAGCCCGACTTCTCATCGCTATTGGTCCTTTCGGAACGTAAATATGTCAAGGTTCTTTTTAAAACCTTGTATTGATGGTGACATCACAGCATCTGCGGGAAGGGCATTCCATGGTTCGACCACTCGAACAGAGAAGGAGAACTTTCGCACATCCAGCCCTGCCTGCTGAGTGCGCAGTTTAAACTGGTGACCTCGAAGGTTGGTCGTGGTAGAAAATTCAAAAACGTCCTCGAAGGCCAGGCTGCAATCCAAACCCTTTTCAATGCAGTTTCTTCTAAATCAAAGGAAAGAGGTTCAGATTTGACAGACGGGTTGCATAAGGAAACGAGCTTTGACCCCTAACCATCTTCATGGCTCTCCTCTAAACTCTTTCGAGGCAGTTTTGATCCTCAGCCGTACATTGGCCATGCTTGGGAATAAGCAAAATGTGTGATTCGCTCCACAAAGTAGGATAGGTTTCAAAAAGCCTGATAAAATACCTTGCAAAGGAGGGATAGAAAAATTACATTTGCATCCGTTTTTAGAATGCTAGCTGGACACCAACAGGTCCAGGAATATGAGATTGATGAAAACGCAGAATCGCAACAGTCACATCCTACATAGTGAAATTTATAGTCTCGAGAACTGCCCCGGTCAATGCCTGGATGGTCGGAAGCGGAGTGGTCGACTTTTTAATAAAAGTTTTCTACAGGACAGCACTGAGACTATGTTTTGGTTTGACGGAATTAAGCGTGAAAAATTAAATAGGGAATAGGTCTGGCATATCTGCGCTTGTGATAATGTCATTTCTCCTTGCGGCAATATTTTTGAATAGTCAAGACCTTCCTTTAAATGCGTCAAAAACAGTCGTTTCTTTCCGTTTTCACAATAAAAGTCACTTTTACACGGATAACTACATACAAAGAGCACACTCGACTGACTGTGGCTCCCAAATACTGACCACATGCACTGGCCGATTTCATGCCCCTAAGACGCAACCTTAAATTAACACTTAACAACATTTTTAAGATAAAGCGTGCAGAGGGGTGAAGAATGCCTTCAAGATGGTCAGAAAACCCTAAGTTTCCGTCTTCTCGGTGTACATTCTACGATCAAAAGTTTTAAAGTTAAATAAAAACATGATGCAAATATATGGGTTGACAGAAGTGGACAACCTATAATACTAATGTCGGGCCTATTCGTACCAGGTTGATTATAGCGAACAAATCATGAATATGTCATCGGAAACTTCGGCATTGCTCTGTTGCGCTGAAAGCTTCTGGTACTGTGAAGCATGTGTGATCATTTAATTAGCTCACTCCTATTTGCAGCATGTACATTAGACCGCCAGCAGCAACGACTGCACCTTGTCCTTTGAACAGTTAGGCAGAGTAAAAGGTACTTCTGTCCAGAAAAACCAACCTCCGAAGCCCTATTTAGGAGGTTTGCACTGGTGAACTACTCTCCAGCGAAACGTTGAAAAAACCGCAAATGAGTGGCGGAAATGGAAAGGAGGCAGGCAGATGTAGATGGAAAACTGTATATTTACAAGGGTAAGGCAAGCTAATGTCTAACTGAATTAGGAACTCTCGGAGGTTCCAAACTAAAAATCTTGCATACAAATGTGTGGAGGCTGTTCTGAAAGGTCCGCGAACTGAAAATACTAATAACTGATACATCACCGGCTGTTATAGCAGTTGCGGAAAAGTGGCTATCACAGAGGATCCGTGATTGTCAAATTGCAATTCCAGAATACCAATTATTCAGGCGGACAAAAAAGACCGACAGGTTGAAGATCTGTCACGTAGTTAAGAAGCAGCCTAACCGTGTGGAAAAAGGCTGGGAAGAATGGCCTATTTACTTGACAACAAGAAAAACGGAGACCACAGTCTCTCGAAACCGTGACTATCTATCAACCACTGAGGATAGATCCTGATGCTGATAATTGCTTGCTGGAACGCGTACAGGAAATCACCAGCCGACCTAGCGTTGCTCTCGTGGACGACTTTAATGCGCCCGTCATTACGTGGAGCGATAGTCACGCGAAGTGCCAAACACTTTCCTAGAAGCACCGTCTCGTAAAGACAACACTTGTACCTGTCCTCACACAACATCTCCTAGATCCAACAGGAGCCCGTGAAGGACAGAAAACCAGCTGTTTGGATCTCATCTTTACGAAAGACCCTGACAGAATAGACGAAGTATACTGCCTACATCCGCTACTTCGAAGTGATAATTAGGTACTTCTATAAGAGCACTGGCAATACTCTGTGCCATATACAAGAAGAAGGGAAGTTTAAAATATGAGACGTTCTGTCTAATGAGAGCGAAGGCATCGCGAGAAATCTGGGACTTGTCTTTTCCAGAGAAATCACAGAGGAGTAGGAGTTCTTCGAGGAACGTTTGTTGTATATAATAGATAGTCGCTGCCGCTTATCAAGTACCAGTTTAACCAGTCGATCAAAAAGAGACCAACAGGAAAAGAGGACGATGGAAGAAGCTCTACAGAAACAACGAAAGTGTAGCCTTCGAGGATTACAAAAACCAGAAGAACGTGTCTAAAGGCATAATTTTCAAAAGACGAAGGGGACTTCAAGTTTAATTTGCCCCATCAAGCCCTTAGAAGTTGTAGATTGCTCCACGGCTATTTGCGTAGGAGCACACGCAACAGTGATCGACGCTCTCTTGTGAGAAATGACGAGGGTCCCGAGATATCGACAAGAACAAACAAAACTAAGTGCCGCAGTTAGTTTTTCCTGTCCATTATCTCAAGATAAACACACTTTATTCCACCCAATTCAGTAGACATGGGAGCACCAAATTTTGAATATATTCTGCTTCAAGGAGGGAATTCTAGAGAATTTAAGGACTTGAGAGAATGTAAACTTCCTGGCCGGGGCGAGATTCCAGAAAAACTACTCTTTTTCACTTGTACGAGGACTGGCTGAGCTACTACCCCTTAGTGTCGAATTTCATTCAGTGCTGGGTTTCTGCCTGTGAACTGAAAAACAGCACACGTTGCACCCACTCACAAATGCTTTAGTCGGGCAATTACGATCAAGCACAGACTGGTTAGCCTGACCTCAGTCTGCCGCAGTCACAGAGGAAACCATCAAAAAGGCAATTACGAATTACTTGGGAACCCATATCCTTGTTTCAAATGCACGATAGGCTATCGTAGGAAAAGGTCGTGTGCAGCAAGAACACTGGATGAGAACACTTAGGAAAAACACTGTGTGCATGGTGTCTACATTGATTTTAAGAAAGCATTCGATAGTGTTGCGCCCCAGCATCCCCTGTACATGTTGGGAGCAACGGGTGTTAGAATCAAGCATTCTATGTCGATCGAACGTTTGCTCGTCGGTCGTTCCAAAATTGTACAAACAGAGTAGCAGTAATTAGTGCCTACAGTCATCGAACGTGGAGTTTCGCAGGGTTTCTTGAGTGAATTGGTATTCTTCCGCATGTTTATTTATGACTGTATGCAAAAACGTGGCTGAGAATGCGTTATATCCTTGGATAATATCAAAATCTGGACAGTCATCCACAGTGCTGTCGACAAAGCGAACTTCCAAGAAAGTCTTTGCCCGCTGGAAGAATTTTGCGCAGATGACTCTTGTCGTGTAACTTTAACAAACGTGCTAGACTGCGTTTAGGAAATCGAAACAAGGGCTCTGGAACGCGTGCCTACTACAGAGCGGAAGACCGCTACAACAAGCGGAATTACTTAAAGATCTTAGCTTTTGAATGAAAAACCGACTAAGTTTTCAGCAAAGTGATGTACGGCAGTTAAAGTCGCATATCCACTGATTCCACTATCAAGTGGGCATTTATATTTTCGATAAAGACTGTTTCTGTAAGGTTTTCGAAACGCTTGTAATACCGCATCTTGAATACGCGGCCCAGACCCGGAGACCTTGGACGGGGGAAGACTAAAATTCACTCGGAAGACACATAGGTTGGCAACCAGATAAATAAGAGTGACGGTGCACTGACATATGCCACCCGTCTGACTAACCTAAATGCCTATCTTCTGAGTTATTTGCAAATGCGCGGGGACCTGATACAAAATTCCGCTACTGCTCGCCGTCTGGATTGTGCGTCCGGTTTTTACGGAGGAGTCCTTAGAAGACAATCAGCAGTCTGAAATGGACAGAGACAGCCAGGAGCTTCAAATGCGCCAAGATATTGCCGTCAGTGAAACCGTCGTCTTTTCCGTCGAAGAAGTCAGACGCGTCCTCAGTGTAATAAAACCTGATAAGTATCCTGGACCCGACGGAATTCCCGGACTAATAATTAAGGAGCTATCAACGGAGCTGTCAAAGCCTCTTTCGACTCTGATTGAGCTGTCAATGAGAACAGGAAGGCTGCCCTCACAGTGGAATATAGCTGACCTCGTTCCATTGCATAAGGGAGGTAGCAGGATGACAGCAAGCAGCTTTAGGCCTATTAGCTTAACTTGCCTCCCTTGCAAAACGATGGAAGCTATAGTAAAGAGCGCTATACAGCAATTTTGTGAAGAAAATAACATCTTGCAGGATTTTCAACATGGCTTCCGGAGAGGACGTTCCTGCCTCTCAAATCTGCTAGCTTGTCTGGAGATGTGGACCAGGGCTCTAGAAGAGGGTTTTGAGGTCGATGTCGTGTATATCGATTTCCGCAAAGCTTTTGACACTGTCCCGCACCAACGTCTTCTTCACAAATTGAGCGCCATCGTCATCCGGGGAGATCTTCTAACCTGGATTAGGGCGTTTCTGGTTAGTCGGAAACAACGTGTCTGTATCGGGGATGATATGTCAGAATGGGTGAACGTGGCCAGTGGTGTACCTCAAGGCTCAGTTCTGGGACCATTGCTCTTCGTCCTTTACGTCAACGACAGCCTTCAGGAACTCGATTGCGTCAAAATAATGTTTGCAGACGATATTAAGCTCTGGCAAGTCATTAAGGGTCCGAATGATCAGAGATCCCTTCAAGATAATCTGCACCGACTGCAAGCGTGGTCGAAGAAATGGTTTCTAGATTTCAATGTGGAGAAGTGTGCCGTCCTTCATCTGCGTCCAACCAACTCTCATTCAAATGAGAGTCTGAGGACATATCACCTGAAAGATATAAGGCTCCCCGCACAGTCTTCACAGAAGGATCTCGGGGTTTGGATACAGAACAACCTGAAACCAACACTGTAGTGCCACAAGGCTACAGAAAACGCCATGGGAGTGCTGCATGCAATAAAAAGGGCTTTCGTTAACTTTGACCAAGACCTTTTTGGGAGAGTTTACGCACTTTTGTTTGGCCCCACTTAGAATATGGCATACAAGCATGGCGGCCATAGCTAGTAAAGGACCAAGCATGTCTCGAACGGGTGCAACGTAGGGCAACGAAGATGGTAAACGGTCTAAAAAGCCAATCCGACACGGACAGACTGAATTGCCTTAAGTTATTCCCTCTGTGTTGCAGGCAGCAAAGAGGTAATCTTATCCTCGTCTACAAGCTAATACATGGCCTTGAGCATGGGCTTAACTTTGACGACATGTTTCAGTGGCACCTTTCACCCAATCTTCGTGGTCACTCGATGAAGTTACGGACAATAATGTCCAGGCTGAATCTTCGTTCTGAATTTTTCACGCAGAGGGTAGTGGAGAAATGGAACGATCTCCCTCAGTCAGTCGCGGAGGCGACGTCTCTGCAACTCTTCAAAAAACGATTGAATGATTATTTGTGTCCCCTGTTTTCCCTCGACAGTCTGAATCTGAACTAAGACCCCACGTCCCCACAAATATTTTCTCTGAGACAATGCTACTCAAATGAATTAAGTGCTGTTTTAATAGCGAATATGTTTTGTTCGTGTGCAGTTATGCCTAGCGAGCTGACATGTAATCAATAGGGTTTTCAAAGGCTTTGCCTATTATCTTTACCAAATAAACGGAAATAAACTGAATAAACTGCGTGGGGACATATTTATATCGCCATTACAACCAATCTCTAGGGTCATCCGTTTAAACTACACCTGCTCCAATGATAACCGGGTGCGAAGAATTATTCTTCCTCAAACGGTGGAATAATCTGACCGAGGTGATTGTTATGTCTCAGTCTGTGGAGGCATTCAAACATCGTTTTGACATACACGTGCTGCATTAACGATCGAATGAAGTGACTATGTAACAGGAAGAACACATTCATTTGTGTGGGGCCACGTCTTCCTCATCTTTGTATTGTAATTTCCCTGTATTGTTGTCAGATCTGGCTATTTATGTGTGGTAAATAAGAATTCAAAGAAGTAAGCTTACGCCCCTCAAATCATCTGAACTGAATTGAAAATTCATAATGGTCGGGTGTGTGAGGAAGATGAGTATTCCCCGCAGTCATCCTAGTAACTGCGGGATTGATGTTAACTTCGTGCCAAATCTTCTTATCTATGACGCTCGAAATGACATACAGATTGTTCGCATGGCTGGAAATGCAGCAATCCCCAAAGTCTACTGCCTTAAACTGGCCCGTTATTTCTTATAGTGAGAAGTGCCAGTTCGCAAACATTAACATTTTGTGGGCTAGAAAACCCGAAACTGGCCTTGACTTCCTATTCTACACTAATTGAAGCCCGAATCTTCACGCAAATAAATCAGCT